CACACACACACACACACACACACACACACACATATATATATATATATATACATATATATAGGGAAATATAGTAAAATGACAATTAATAAACTGCCTGTTGCTATATTATATTATTATTATATCGATCCAAATAATCTCCATTTTCTCGATATCAGAGCTGTTATCACTAATAGCGACAAATGGAAAATGTTGCTGAAACATTATCACAACGTTGACTTACCATGTGTGCACAAATAGATGATTATCGATGATGATCCAACTACCCCGCCAATGCGCGATGCACGCCACTCCAAAGGTGTAAGTATACAGAATTCGTAAAACCCGGTAAGGCAGTCGTTTTCGCCAATTTAATTTAGCCCACTTCTTCATGTAAACGTCGTGAAATCGATCTTTGAAAATCGTGTATGCTGCGTGCAAAGCTGCGCCGAACGTAAAACAAAACCAGCTGGGAAACCTGTTAACAAAATCCTCCTAAATACGCGCCAGCATAATGGATAATGTTTAACATTTCACCATCTGCAAATGATAAAAAAAAAATACATAATAGATTCTTGACACAAAACGCCATTCTGCTATGTGTCTCTGTCTATAGATGTAGATACCTGATGACTTAAAAAATTTTTTTATTGTACCTTTCAGGCGTATATGTCTGCAATTACGAGCCAATTATGTACAAGCCAATCACATAACGTTAGAAAAAAATTAAAAAAATAAATAACTCCCCATAGAGAAACTATTATGATTGGCAATGGGCAATTGCAACAGTGTGCAAGTGAACCACTCCTGTATCTTTTGATTCTACGCAACTCATAAGAGTTTTGCGTTGCATGTTCCAGCATGTTCCAATGTGCTCTTGCTATAGTTTCTACTCCAACGAGCGCGTTAAAGTAATAAAGTGCTATAGTAGGAGCATTTTAGAGCATATTAGAGCATGCGACGCGAACAACCTATATAGTTACAACTGTCGGTATCGTTAATGCCATCAGAACTGTCAGAACTTGATTATGCCACGTTATGGAATGAAATAAAATGCATAAAACTCATTGATTATATTTATCTGCAACGCTCGAATATAGAGCGTCCATTATTAAAAAAACAATGGGCAAGTACAAGCCAGTAAAGCGGCTGAATGCTCGCGGAGAGAATGCGGAATGAGCTTGATTGGTTCTTACCTGTGGATTCAACCAATCATATTTAATTGCTCGGCGAGCAGATCTAGCCGCTTTACCGATTTGAACTCGTCCAATATTAATGTATTTTTTTATTCTTCTAATAAGACGCAATTAGGTCGTTTTACCGAATGTGACGGCTTGATTTCTAATAGCATCGAAAATTCAATCACGAGCTATAAGATCGCTCGTAAAAATTCACCAGATCCGTTTTACTCGCAAATACATTAGATATATATGTGTGATAGGTATATACATATATATATATATATATATATATATATATATACATCAAATAGAACATGAAGTCGGAAGTAACTTTACCTGCGCATATAGAAAACTACCCTGGTATGTAGAATCGTATAGATTTGATCTTGTATATATACATATACATTACAGATATTACATGCTTTACTTACATCGTAATTTTCAGAGCAAATTACATTTGTCAATTTGTACACACATGTATGTATACATATAAATTATTAATTGTCCTAATAATTTCATGACGTTATCGATTCAACAAGTAGTCTTCAGTCTCTCTCTCTCTCTCTCTCTCTCTCTCTCTCTCTCTCTCTCTCTCTCTCTCTCTCTCTCCCTCTCCCTCTCCCTCTCCCTCCCTCTCCCTCTCCCCCCTCTCTCCCAATAACAACCGAAAATTAGTAAAACAGACTCTCTTTTATAATTTGGACTTCAAACTTCTGACTAGATACCTATTTCGATCTGTAACATCTAAATGAAGAAATAAATGATGTAAGATTAGTCTAGGGCGATAATTTTTATTACTATATTATTATAAGTTCGTTGACTTTGTAAGGATATTTTAAAAATGTTATATATTTCACTGAGGAAGACTTTGTAAGTCAAAACGTTTGAAAAACTTTATAGCATTGTACTTATTTAATTAAAAAACGATTTTTATTTTATGAATAATAACATACGTATGAATAATAAACTATAATTGCTCGTTTAAAAAAGGTGACTTAATTATAATAGGCTTATTATATGTTAGTTCTTCATATCGAAAATAATATTTCAGCTTCATTCGCGCATATCTCGCAATTATTCCAATTGACTCTTCTGTTAAGTATTTTTGTTACTCACAATTCTGCACGATAATCCATGCTTGACCATACACCTCTCCAAAAGCCAATCGATAAAGGAGCAACGATACTCGTAGAGATCAGGATATCGAGTAATGAAAACGCTCGTTTTTTCCTTCTTCGTTTCAAATCCTTCGATGATCCTTTTATCGGTATAAACACTTTCTCGAAGAGGCCAGTGTTCCCACAACATTTATACAATTTTTCTTCCTATGATGCCATAATTGCAAAATTGATTAAAAAAGACTAAATTATATACAGATGCAGAAAACGGATGTATTTCGGACGGTCTATACAAGATAGTCAATTTAACAATGTACATATTTGCTAAGTATCTCGTAAGTTTACAGAAATTTATCACTATTTTATTTAAAATTTCATTGATTGAAAAAACAGGGTTGTCACAATTAAATTCATCATCCTAAAATTCTATATAACTTTTCTCTAACTTCCAAATAAAATTTCATAATTTTCTCTGAAGTTGTCAATACAATATTGTATTTTGAAATCTTTTGTACTTTCATCTTGATTTGAAAATTAATCATTGCATATTTTTTTAAGACAGAGCTAGATCAATTCAAGGCAATTCATTATAGGCTGTGTTCCAAAATTGACTGCCAGTACTGAAAATCCATAATACACGTAATGTAAACTGTAGTGCTGGTAGTAAATTTAGAATACAGCCAGTAATGTAAATTATTATTTATGTTACTGTGACACTGCTTACATATTTAATTATTAAGTTGGTAGTATTCCAAAATTATGTAGGCATATATACGTATGTTAAAAGCTTCTTTAAAGCCATAAATTTTAATTTTCCAATAAATTTTGCAAAATTTCCTGATTTTTCTGTGATATCTCCAATCGTTGTGTAATTTCCTTGACTTTTTGAATTAATTACTCCCTTGATTCCCAATTTAATTTATGGCAACCTGCAGTCGCAACCCTTATAAAATTACGCGGTGTAACCTTAGAATAGAAATGTGAGACATTTTCATACACAATACTTGTAGATATATTTATTGTTAAATGTAATATATAATGTGTGTGTGTGTGTGTGTGTGTGTATGTCTAATTCAGAAATAATTTTTTGAAATATCTATAGATTTAGCTCTGTCATAGAGGGGTTTATATATACATATAATTTTACCTTGGAGTTATTTCGTTTATCTTCACCGATAATTGATATTATCTTATCATTCTCATACTCATCTGCTTCTTCCGTTTCCGCTTTTCCTGCACTGCAGCTTGTATTAAGCGCAGAAAGATGATCATTTTCATATTTGTCAATCGATGTTAATATAATACTGTCGCATTTAGCATCAATTTCGTTTAGATTACGTTTCTGCGATATTACAGTTTGTTCAGTATTGCTGTTTGAACGAAAATGCGATGTTTCTATAATAAATTCTTTGTCGTCAGGCAACGGTAGATGTGATTCCGTATCATAGAACATATTTATCCTTTCTTACGATTATGTGCTATAGAAAAAAATTCCTTCTTCCAATCATTGGGTATACGATACGCGTACGTTGCATACGTAAACTATATAAATTTCAACACAAAATCGATACGATACGAATGGAAACGTATATATGTACACTAGTAAAGAAGATAATATATACCTAGTCCAGAATAGATATAGAACGTACGATTACTTTACTGCGCTCGACTGCACTTTATTGTACTCGTTTGAAAAAGCGAATACAAAAAGACTGGCGCCTTCCATGTTGCGTTAGCCACTTATACTACAGAATATACATACGCGTATATCCTCTAATATATCTTACAAATAAAAGACATCTGACTAGCTCGATCTTTCACCGTTCCGTCTATCACGACCACGACTTGGTGCGGTGAATTCATATTTTAAATGTAAAATTACAAATATGCCAGTGTCATTATTCCTTATAATTATAATTTCGCACTTCTCATTGCTATTACAAAACATATTCTTGACAATGAGAGTGATCAAAAATGCTTTTTGCTTTTCTTTTTTAAATTTCAAATATAAATCTTCTAAATCCAAGTGTAATATTCTGTTATTGTTTTTAACAGGGTTGGGCAAAATACTCAAAAAATTGTATTTAAATACAAAATACTCAAAAAAGCCGTATTTAAATACAAAATACTCTCAATAAAATTAAAATGTATTTAAATACGTATTTTAAATACATGTTTTCCAAATACTGTCCACCTCTGATTTTTAACACCCCGCGCCGGGGATACTACATCGTAGCTGTTTATGTAACTTATCCAAATATGAGTAGTATCCAATATGTCCGAATATTATACATATACATGTGCGTATAATAAGTAATATTCGATATTTTGAAACGTATTATTGCCGGATGATATTGAAATGATACGCAATGTGCAGTAATTTAGCGCACAGCTACGTGGCCTATAGATATACTTGATTATACGAGTATATTGTTCTATTAGCATTCAGGTGTTGTATAAATACGCGTTTTCGCCGTGAATTTCTGTACATGAGGCCGAGAAACATAATTCCATATTCAAAGTAACATAATAAGTGATAAGAGGAAAATAAAACGAGTGACTCCATAAATATATGTAAAATAAACATAAGATAATAACATATAAAGTACTACAAAAAAAAGAATTAATAATTCATACTCCTTTGCCCGCGAATTTAGTTACGAAAACGTAAATAATGCGAGATTATTGCACAATTATCTAGACTACAATGTATCTAGATTAGAAACGCTGCTGAAACGCGGCATTTTAATTGATTCTGTATATTGCACGTTTCATTTTACTGTAATTGTATAAAAAAAAATCTAAATAATAAAATTACGAACATATTATAAATTTTATTATTGTTATTATTGTCAAATTTATTTTTCAAAATTCTTTCTTGTAATTTAAAAAATCACTCTTGTAATTTCTTCGTCATTTGATTCTTATCGATTTTGTACTGGATTATAAATAAACTCCTCTCCCCTCTTTAATAATTACTTAAATAAAGCCAGTTTGAAAACTTTTTATTGTAAGCCTTACAAAGTAATCGGTTAAGCTTACGCTCTCTATAAATTTTTATTACATTTTATTTTATATTTTCCGCAAATCATGTAATAAAGAAATGTAAAATTAAGATTCGATGTATCAAGTTTCATTCTTATAATATTCAGACATTCTAGGCCATCTCGTTAATTGTTTGTTAATGAAGTAATACATTTCCATTTATAATTTTATATCATGAAATGCATAGGTACACCATACAAAATATTTCGTAAAACTGACGATTGTGTCACACTTCAGCGTATAGTTGACAATAGTCTCCAGTCTATGTATGTACATACATTTTTAAAATCTGATTTGCCCAAATCTTTTGATTTTGAAAAATATGAAAACATTAACGCAGAAATTTGTTTGTTTTTTTCTTTTTACACGCTGTTGAAGTTTGACGCAAATTTTCGTACACTACTCTTCGTATACGAGTATATGCAACTAATGAGACTTGTGAAAAGAAGTGGAGGACATCAACATTGTGAATAAAATTCATCATTTAAAATGAACAACAAGAATCGTCATATGTATGTACGTATGTATGTACACATATTCATTCAAACTTGTCGTAACTCAAAAAATGTTGGTTCGTTTTACGAATTAAAATTGTAACATTTAAGTATCCGTGTGGTATAAAAAGAATGTGTCTGTTTTTCACGTAATAAACTTTTTAACAATAATATCCCTTTATTATATCGCTTTGAAATGGAAATGTCAACTGAATTTTCTGATATTTCCCAAAATATATGAAAAATGTTTACAAACTACTCGTTTCATTCTTTGATGCTACAAAAAATTGTAATTATCTCGTATAAGTACATATGTATTAAGATTTAGTATAACAATGT